GTCTTATTTTCACGATAGCACTAAGTTCGTAATGAAAGGGCCCCTTGGGCCTTAAATATACAATTATTTTTTATTTAACGTTTGCCGGTAATACATTGGTTACAGCGTTAATTCTGTTTCGGCCTGTTTGACCAGTTTGACAACGAGAAATGCAGCGGTAAGTTCCAACCTTGGTATGTTTTGGACCTTAAGCGATGCAACGCGGGACTTGCCCCAAACAAATGTCGTAAGTGAAGCGCCTCCTTTCGTCACCACACGAAGTCAAACTAATGCTCCATACCCACTCTTTGACGCGTCCGAGAAACCACGTAGTTGACATTGCTCGATGGCGCCTATGCCCAGCGGAACCAAGCAGCGTTGTATGCGAATATCACTAAGAGTCTGGAATTGTCTCGTCCAGTTAAACCACTGTTTCTTAAGGTCATAGCCGATCTCATCGTCCCATCCAAGGTTGGATCGGCACAATTGCTGTAGTAGCATCTTGGCCGGCAATAGAACAGGGGCAACAAGTCCAAGTGGGTCATAGAGGGCTGTGATATAAGAAAGCATAGGCCTTCTTGTGGCTGTAATTTCAGGCAACTTGACCGTGAAGCTGAAGGGCTCTGCAACCTTGCTCCACTCAACACCTAGTGTTCGGTGAGTATCGGCTGGTTTAAGATCGAGACATATGCCCTTGTCCGCTCGTTACTCCTCGGGGATATATAGGAGAGCCTCTGTCGAGTTGCTCCGCCATTTATCTAGGCGGAAGCCGTGGGTTAGCAAGGTGCTTCGCAGGCTATAAACTACATCCGTGAGAGCTTGAGCAGAATCGCGGCTGATCAGGCAATCGTCAACGTAGAAGCAATGACGCATGCAACTGACATCGAAAGCTTTTGACAAGTTTGTCGCTTGCTTTATTGATTTGTTTAATGCATATATAGCGGCACATGGAAAACAGATGGCTCCAAAAGGATGTACCGTCATTTGGTAAGCCTCAGGGTTATGTGTCAAGTCACCGTCCGTCCACCAGAGAAAATTCAAACATGAACGTTTGACACCTTGGTACTCGGATTTGGTGGAACATGGCTTCTATGTCCGCCACCACTACAAATGGAAGCTCGCGGAATTGGGTCAAGACCCCACATAACCCGTTAGCAAGGTCTGGTCCCTACAGTGGTCGGCCATTGAGAGACGTACCCCTGTACTGACTGGCACAGTCAAACGCTACTCTCAGTTTATCTGGTTTCATTGGATTTACTACCGAGTGATGTGGTAGGTACCAACGTTTTTCAGGTACGGAGGCGAATGTCGATGCAACAAGTTCTGCGTAGTCAGGCTTAATGTACTCTGAAATTTCTTGTACGTTGCTACCTTTTTATGCATGATTTTTTGTGAAGCGGTTCTACAATGCATACAGACGTTAACGGGCGATAGGTTTGTTGTTGGGCAGACAGGGCAAAACTTGCCTCCAAGGTAGGAAAACTTCTAAGTGCCCCTGAGTCAAGTGGGCCTGAGCGTCAAACAGGGCCAACACCCGTTTATCTTCGATTGAGTGCACCTTTTCCAGGGTTTTGGGTTCACCGAAGTCGAAGTTCCACATATGTTCTAGTCTTTCTATGATGAGGTCCTTCTCGCTCAAAAAGTCGACATTTGCGTTATCGGTCCGACCTTGGCCAGATATTGGTCCCATGAGTACCCACCCGAAAGGAGTTCCAACAGCATAGGGCGTCTTCTTGTCCACCGTATCGATGTTTGAGTACCCAGTGAGCAGCAAGTACGTTCATCCCGATGAGGAGTGATACCTTCGCTCCTTCGACAAAAGAAATTTCGACATCACATAAATTTTCCCAACGCATGGCTTCATCTTTATCTAAAAGGAAACGCTTCAGGTTGGGACGATGACTGACGGGCCAGACCTTTTTAATTCCAATCGCTCCTGCCCTTCTAAAGCTCGTAACTGGAATTCTAACACTTCCGAACTCACTTCGGCTGTCTGGACGACGGTGGATACGGACAACGCTGCTCGATGGCCACAAAGGCCTAAGTGTTTTTAATAGGTTTTCATCTATGAGCGTAGTGTCAGAGCCGGTTTCCAGGAAGGCATACGTGGTCACTAACCTACGAGGTCCAAACGCTTTGACCGGTAAAACTCCTAAGGCTACGACTTTTTCAGATCTGTATGTTGAATGGCAGTGGGCTGTATCGGTACAAGGCTCTGCGTCCGCCTTCATCGGAAACCTATCAGTCTTTGCTTCTTGTCGATGCGGGAATGGGTGGTGGCGCATGGAAAATCGCGCGACACCACATGCCTTACGTGACTTATAGTTAAATGCGTCGTGGTTAGGCTTTAAACATGAGTGGCACAATCTATGACTCTCAACGAAAGCTAGTCTTTGCGGCAAGCTGAGAGATATAAGCAAACCACATTGAGCGGTGTAGTTTGCTTCGTCACATGGCAGGCATGATCGACGCTGTATTGAAGTTCTATCCTCAATAGCTTGTGTGTGGTGTGTATGTACAGGTGCTCAATCGCCCTGGGGACGATTGAAAGTAGAAACGGAACTAGAGGAGTATGACTGATGCACCATCGATAATTCAGCCCTCTCGTCTACAAAGTCAGTTAGATCAGAAAACGTTGGCTCTCTACCAAGACGTGGAGTTGATGACGCGAGCTCTGACCATTTGAATTGCAACTGTGGAGGGAGTCGTCTGATTATGGCCGCCAGCGTCCTAGATGAATTTAATTCGGCTACAGAATCCAACTGTTGCAACGTGTTCTTACAGTTTCGCATATCGTCGGCAAGTTTCATCAAACTGTCAGATCCATAGATCTTAAAACTGGACCATCAATCAAATTATCTATGCGAGCCCTAGCGATTAAGTGAGGTTGCCCGAATCGGCATCTAAGGATCTTAAGAGCCTCCGAATACCCCTCGTTAGGCTCTAGGATCGCACATATTTCAAAAGCGTCTCTGGCCTCATTTTGACAATAGTGGATCAGGTAGGAAAGTCGGTTTTCGTCCTCCCCCACTTGCTAGCTATACCACTTTTTAAATAAATAAATAAATAAATTTTATATTTTAGGCCCGGAGGGCCTCGTCAAAGCTTCTTAGAAGGAGCCAGTATTTTAGGGAATTTTCGTCGGTATGCATAATTTCGCGCTGTGGTTGGGCAACATTTTGATGTATTGTGCGTGGATACTCACCGACAATCCCCTGTTTTCGCGGAGGCCGAGAAAGTTTCGCAATAATTGTCAATTGCCTTAATTTTTTCAAGGGTTTTGATTCTGTTATAACCTTGTGTGTTCCTGTGGCAACACTGGTTATGTCTCCCAGTTACGTGTTAGGAATGGAAGGCAGAACAGTGTAGCAGATAGTAACTTACTGTCACTAGTTCCGCATGTACATACGCGCTGTCTTCTGCGTGTCCAGCAGTTTGGTCTTCTGTGTCCTTCAGCAGCGTGTGTTCTGTCGTCAGTCTCACTTCGGTAGCAGTCTCTCGTCTAGGGCACCAGAGCCCTGTGTC